GCAAAGGGGATATCGTTTTTGCATTGCATTTAGCAAAGTACTGAAAAATCACGGAATTATGTGTCTACATCTCAGCATATAAAGAAAAGCTAGCAGGGCTTACAGTAACGCAAATTTTCCTCGGTATAACTGTTCATTGGCTGTTCCAGACATGTGCATCAGTCTTAACAAGTCAAACTGGGATGGACTGCGCGTTTCAGCACAGCGAAGAATTCAAAATTATGCTTTAAACAAAGAAAGGCTCTGCATACAACCATAACTCAATGATATGGCACTGAACTTGGCGCACACAACGAAAGAGTGCCCAACTATTCCCAAATTTACCCACTGCAGCTGGATATCAACTGAGCTACGTACCATTTGCTTACACTGTGTCTCATATCAAAGTTATTTCGAGTACAAATCTGTTTTATATTTTTCTGAGCATTTCTAAACCTCAAAAACTTTATTTTCCTTAACTGAGCGCTTTCAAGCAGACCAACGCGCGAAGCTCTCGCTTCAGCTAGGCTCGTTCCCACTTGCATTCCTTCTTTCAATCTTTCCTAGTTTGTGCTGATATTGCTTACGCTTTCTTAAACTTTTTCAGGTGCAATGATCAGCAAAAAGCCTTATTTAGATTGTGAACAGTTCTGGCTTCCATCCTTGTTTGTACAATGATCATTATGTTATTTTCCATCACATAATCCTAAAAATTTATGGCTAATGTTTTTCTCCCATCCTTGCCATTTACAGTTACATTATCCTGGAAAATTGAATAGATTTTCCTTGTTGCCTTGCTATTCATTGACTAAAGGGTGGGTGTGGAGGGCGGAGGAGGAATTGAGGAGGTAGGGACACTGTCGTTTAAAAAAAGTTTTCCGAAAATTTTTGAAAAATTGTGCAACCAGTTCTTCACGTGTCACGCATGCTGATCAGTACGCACATTTTTGCGCTTTGATAGAGCTTTTTGAGTGGCCGTCAGATCTTTAAAGAATTGCAGAAATTGGTTGTTATGGTACATCTGGCATGAATTACGAAGAATGTGAAAATCCTCCTCAAAGTTTCCACCGTAATCCTACAGAAACGAAAAGGGATTTCGGATTTGCCACACTGAAACCTAAGCTGAAGCCAGCTCTAAAAAATGGTATCTAAAGCTTCTTGAAAGAATTCGTTACAAGAGAGTTATCAACAGTCAAACAGTAGGCATATTTTTTGGGACACTCCATACTAACCTAATAATATGAGCATCCCTACTAGCATTCATATTATTAAAGTACCGCTAAACGACACCTTAGGAGTAAATCGTCAGTGAAATGTTTTCAACCCATTGTTATATACTACTCACCGGATCCATTGAAACCTAAAGAAGTAGAAAAACAAAAAAAGAATCCCTGGAAATTTTAGGTTCTCCTCATGCAAGTCGTAAGGCAATGCTCGTATCAAAATATGACTGGACCATATATGTTTCTGATGGCCACTTAAGTAGGTAAATTTAAGTTCAGCAAAGGACATTCTGTTCCATGACATCCTATCAGGAAAAGAATTTCATGGGTCCGAAAACAAACTAGTGCAAAAGCCGTTGAGATAAGTTCTGAAGATGTGCAGATCCATCCTAGAGCACACATACGTCTCACAACCGCTTAGTAGCCATTAATTCAAGCAATTACTAGTTGGCTTATCTTAATCTGCTTGCTCTTGTTTGCTAAATGTAATGAGGCACTTCATAGCTCAAAATGAGTGAAAGTCGAACACTGTTGCAGCAAACTCGTGATGCGATTCAAAAGAAAAGCATTCAATACAATCTCAGATTAAAAAACTTATGCAATCAGCTGTGCAAAGAGGGCTCACTACATTTGTATAAAAGGTGGAACATATAAAAAGGCTCTCCGCAGAAAGGGCAGTCATTACCTTTCTATTTCCTATTTCGCTTCGTTAGCGATAAAATCACTTGTTTCAGAAATTGGAACAGGTACTGCGCAATTTGTGCATCTTGAACGGATATGCTGCAGATCCTTGTGATTGGTCCTTGTGCTCCATGGCTCTAGGAGCGGGACCGCCCCGATAGTATTGCATCGCCAAATCAGCAATGGGTGGCGGTCGAGAATAACGATAGCTCTGCCAGCTGCTCGCGCACGTAGAACGACCCACCCTCACTTGTACAGTAAATTTCGACCCGCTTAGGGGGAAGTTGAATTGGCGAGCGTCCGCCTCGCAATGGTTCGCGCCGTTTCGCAACTACGGTATATCATATCGTGCAGAGAATCCAAGTCTACGTCTCTTCATTCTCCGTAGTCTTCGCTTGGCAAAATGCCGCCGCTATGGTTCCGCGATGCGCATGCGCTGCTCCACGTAGGATTTTTCGCCTAAACCGGGATGAAACCGACTGTACATGAAACTGTTTTTTTGTTGAAGTTCGTTTTCTAAACCAATCATACAAGCTTGTACATATTTCACATGCTGATTTGAGCTGAAAACATTTCCATTGCGTATTTGTGGCCATGTGATTGCTGATTATTTCCATCCTTAGAAAATAGCAGAAGCCTTAACATAAAGCGTAAATAAAACAGAACAACGTTTCGGACATTAAGTGCTATAAAATTTAGTGCCTGCGTGAGCTCGTCCGTTGCTGGGGTAGTGCTCCCTGTTAACCTGTTATTGAAATACGGGCACTCAGGATGTCACTATTGCCAACTTTCGTTATTCTTGAAATGTTAGGTCGTGTAATAAGTTCTGTCCCATTTTTTGTTTTAGTTTTTTCTTGCCAACATTGACTATATTTGAGATATAGTGAATGCGATTTTGAAAGCTCTAAGTCTGTTCTACAGGCTCATAGCAGGCATCACCCAACATAGCAGAAAATTGAAAAAGATTTCATCGTTGAAATAAAAAATCCAAAGAGCCGAAAAATCAATTTTCGGCATCTTTTTTCCTCCAAATTTTTCTCAATTTTTATTGCTGAAACATATGAAATGAGCATGACAACAAGCAAAGCAATCTATTAGACTTTTACACTTATTCTATCGCTGTTTGCGCATGTTCCCTTCCTTCCACCGGCTACTTAAAGGCAGCGTCCGGGCAAAATTTCGCCTCTCATGTTTCTGCCATTCCCATTCTGGGGCCTTCCCGTGGCCCTGAATGCAGCTGTAAAGTCCAAATTGTTCAATACCCCCAAAAAACCCGATTCTTGGGGACCCTCTCTTCAAGAAGCGGACGAGTTTCGGATTGCTCGTCCCCATCGCATGCCAGCGGGAAAAGCTGCAACTGTACGGATGCAGTTGCATTGCAGTGTGCAGTGCAACTGCAATGCAACTGCAATGCAACCGCACACCTGCGTAAGCACTCGTCCTCAGCGGTGGTTTGTGATACGAAGGGGCAGTTTGTGATACGTATCACAGGCCCGTATCTCCTTTTAGAGGCCACTTCAAAGATTCGGACCAACGCAGATCGGATACTCATGGGCCCCTCTGTATAACTATATGCTAACCTGGGTGGATGGATCTTGCCCGGACGCTGCCTTTGAATGGTGCAACTATAGGTACCGCTTTCAACCTTTCACTTTCGTGCCATAAAAATAAGTATCTCGAATCTTTGTTTTTAGTGACACAGATTTGAGATGTTACAAACTAAAACTTGTTCATCTTTGCTGTACTATACTTTTTGAAAGCTAAGGATTTGGTAATCGTTGGGCACTCAACGACGTAGTTCACTTATCCAATCTTTTTTATTTCTAAAGTTTGGTCTCCTTGTGATAGAAACATTTTAAAAATTTAGGTGATTTCGAACAAACCAAGATTAAGACACGGTTCATACAAACCAAGATTATATCACATGATGCAAGAAACCAATCGGATTTCTATCTCAAACTTATTAAATTATTAACTTGACGATTTGGCGAATCAAAATGAGAAGATTTGGAAGTCATTTTTAAGTAGCATGACCTAAGGTTTTTTGAAACTGAAGCACACGGACGTCATAATCCAAACTTTTGAGCAAGTCACATAAGTCGTTGCCGAAAAGACCAAGCTCAAGGCAGTATATAAGGTCAAACACAGTATATAAACCAGCCGCAGCTAGATCCGACATTCACCCAAAAAGTTTTCTTTTCCTTGCACTTCCCAGGCTCCAACAAAAGCTAGCTTCTGCAATAGCAATTCTAGAAATAGCTTTACACTTTCAGTTGACTGGTCTTATCCTACTCATGAAAGGATCCTTAATTTATTAAAACTTTGATTTCTGAGCACGAAAAATTGAAAATGTAGAAGAACCTTTGGATCACTTCATTCTCACTGCAGGATGTAAACTGCATCCAATAGTCGTCTTGAGAAATTTTGGACGATTGAAAATCTTTTTGCACGGTATGCAGAACTCGTAACTTTTCTTTTGCGACGTAAGTGCTCGCCTAAATATGAGATTGTAGGAAGTTTCTGAAGACTTTTTTTTATTTCCGGAAACTTGCTTTTTTCGCACTCTATTGGATTCCGGCGACAATTTTTTGTGAAATTATGTAGAGCAAAAAAAATTTTCAGCCATTATTTTAATCATAATGGGTGTCAAGTGTTAAGTATAATTAACACAAAGCTTAATAAAAATCCTGTCTACTCTACATAACGAAGAAATCTTCTCGACTATAAAAATTTCATATTTCTTCTGCTTATCCACGAAACAAAAGTTAGCAGTACTTTGAAAAGCATTCGCGGAAACTTCTGATAACTTCATCATGCGAGAAAGATTGTTCGCGATGACTTGATGACTGAGGATGACTCCCCTTTAGCAAGCACAATTATGCATGTTTTGAAACGTTTACTATATTTATGAAGGCAAAAAAGTAAAAAAAAACATAGATTGGCCATATTGAAAGGGTTAATGCTTTGTACATAAATTAAGTCAGGCTGGATTGAGGGAGAAGAGAACATGCCTCAAAATTTCAGATCCACAAACGCTTTTTTAATTTGTTATCAAAATGTATTCTGTAAACTAGCCAAATATGTTCAAGCAGATGTTCATTCATTAAAAGTTTTAAGATGTTTGGGTTGATTGCTACGCTTTCGCTTGTGGTGGTCGGAGCTCATTCCGCCGTCTTTTCCGATGATTTCGCTTACAACAACATGCTCCCTCTGGCTGCTGCAGCTTATTCAGACCATCCGGATGCATGCGTCAGAAATCACTTTAACGGACAGGTAAGGCGTGATTCTTATCATGAAAGTAGGGAATAGCACATCGTATGCAAATACATTTGTCTCTTCGGAATAGGTGTATTAACTTTCAAAATCTTTGCCTTTGCCTGAAAGTAAGAAGTGAATGGGGCAAATGAGCACATGAGGGAGTAGCCTTTGATTCAACTGGATCGGCGGCTGAAAGGCGGGTATTTGCGACCGAATTAAGACCGCTCGCGTCCGCGACGCAATCTGCGTCTCTCTCGCGCGCTTACTCTCTGATCATTCTCTAGCCTTAACTGAGCCACGAAGCCGCCTTCCAGCCGCCAATCCAGTTGAATCAAAGGGTAGAAACAGAGACTATCCCCATTAAAGACACAAGAAGATATGCTTCACGTATTCACAGCTGCCATGCATACATTTGTCATCATCACATAGGTAACAAAGAAAGTGAAGCATGGCATGGCAAAAATCAAATTAAATCAGGCGAAGCTGCTAACATACTCATGGCCATATATAGGTAAATGTAATTTTCGCATTCATACAGACAAGGTCTTGAAATAAGCATTTCCAAGCTCTAACCTTTACACTCATCGCCTGCACTTTTACTCAAAGCTGCTACAAAGTGTGATGATGTGCACTAGAGTCTAATGACTGGGAATGAGCAATATGATTACTAGTATAAAAAAAAGATTTTTCGTTCTTTCAAAGGAGATAATGCTTTCAAAGCAAAGATTGTTCAGATCTACAGATTTTACAAGGTGGACTGCAAAGGCCCTTGGAGCGGAACTGCATCAGTCTCATGTGCGGCATATACGGCCCTGCTACCCAGTAGGAAAGCAATAGTGCTGAGTTTCAGGTTACTTTAAAATTATATGTCTTTATATGTTCAATGATAAGTCCTTGAACGACTACAGGGCTTCATTAACATTGCTTTAGATAATTACCATCCACATAGGCGTTGACTAGGGCCCGCGGCGGAGGTGTTAGAAGCAGGCTAAACTTCGTACATTGGCAGAAAAATGTATATCGTAAAAATGTCATACAGGCATATGAGCGACCAAGTAGACCAACACACTTTTAAAGAGAGGTTACTACAATAATGACATGCTTCACCGTGTTTTTTCAGCAAGCGATCTGAAAAAAGCAAGGTGAAAACATTAGCTTGTTTGCAGTTCAGAACCAAACTCATGACCTCTCGAGGTTATCCAAAAATTTACTCTTGGACAGGAATGCTGACCCAGCCTTGTCTTTCTTTTTCTAATTGAAACAGCTCGCTATACTGTACTGCATTCCAAACTATGCCATTTGCAAGTGTCGCTTACCTTAAAGCGTTTTCAAGCGAAGCGGGATTCGCATTTGAAGCTTTCAGTTGCGGTGTCAACATTCGTATTTTTGCCCTCTTTCTTCCTCTTTCCCTTCGCACATGCATTCCACCTACGCTCGCTAATTTTACTCATACTTCTCAAGATCAAGAACGTAAATAAGTTGAAAATTGTTGCTCCATTTCGTTAATATATGTGATTTTGTGTATGCTCGCTGCTTTTCAAAAGAGCCTTTGTAAAATTAATGATAGGTAAGTAGTATCTCTGTTTTGGAAAAGCTTAAGCGGTGCGTGCAGGACCCTAATCTAGACTTAAGGCTTACCTTTATTTGCAAGTACCTCCGATAATTATCCCTAACAATAAGTATATAAAACGATAATATTTGGTACCAATTTTATTTCAACAATATTACACTTTGTTTTTTACAGAGGGACAAACACACCCATGCAGCTTTTCAAGGAACTTGTTCATTGTAGATTGAGTCAAGAAGTAAGTCAAGCTATCACAAAATGCTTGTATGAGCGGAAGTTTTTTTTATAGAAAGAATGGCTCGGTGTTGCGCAGGTGAACACCTACTTCCTTAGTGCTTTCAACGACTTGTTTCACACGAGAATGGATAAACTAGAAAGGAGCACTATGTATGATGATGTCAAAGATCTGATTAAGCAACACTCAGAATATGAGATTTGGGTACGCGCTTTAAGGAGAAAATTTTCCTTATTATGTGAGTTCAGATAACTGGGCACTCACTGGGAGGTGCATTGGCATCTCTGGCGGCATCTTATTTAGTGGAGAAAAGATTTGCACCGAGCTCAAAAATAAAGTTAATGACGTTCGGCCAGCCCAGGACAGGCGACGAGGAATTTGCTGATAGGTTTAATAAAACGGTATGACAACACGGTATACGACTACAAGCACATCTGTATGTAAAAAAGTTTTCGAAGCTTGAGCAGCACCTATTTTCCGCACATTATTCTATCCGCGGTCATCTGAAAAAGAGGAGAAGGAAACAATTTTATAAGATTTAGCGCTTACGAACATTCTATTTAGAACATGTAAAGAAAGAAAAAAGTAAGGAAGAGGTTTGGGAAATAGCATCACACGTCTTGAAATTCGAAACTCTTTACAAGCAGAGTTTATTTCTTTTACTATGCAAAGCAAAAAGCGAAACTATGCATGCTTAGACTATCTTAGTATAAAGTCTTAAAACAATCTCTAATTTGAGAGCTAATACTGTCACTGGTTTTTACCCTTTGCAGATCGACTATGCATTCCGCGTCATCCATGCCAATGATGGGGTACCTCATGTCCCACCCGAAAAGTTCGGATACCGCCATCATAAACAGGAGGTGAGCATTGTGAAACATTCCATTACGGTGCACTCTGTTCGTAGTACTTTTCGGCTAATAATCGTTTAAGTTGGTGTCTACGCGATGAAACAAGTGGACAGAAATTGTCAAATTGAGTTAAAGAAAATTCTATTCAAGGGAATCTTGCAATTGGCGTGCCAATACGCAAATCAGCGACAAATGAAGGTGCACAGTCGCAATTGCACCACTTTTCCACGCGCCTAACACAATAGGCAATGCCTTAGTCACCAGTTTCGATCTTCAGCTCACCTTATCAAGGACATTAAGAGATCTGAGAATGACCGCAAAAGAAACCACAAAAGAAAATTTGGCAACAAACTTGTTTTTGCTAGTTGTGTGTAGCGCATTCGTTGAGAGAGATACTATGTGCAAGGGGGCCCTGACTCGTTGTTACTTATAGGCATGTAGTATCCAAAAAACTTTTTTTTTCGAGAAAGTTCTTTTTGTTTGACCACACGGTAACCTGCAATTTTTCTTCGTTCGCATGTATAGCTTAGGAAAGCACATCTAAATACGGCGTGGTGATTTAGTTTGTCAGAGGACATGTAGAATATGAACGCGAAGAATGTAGTGAATGTGCGATCGCAATCAAAACGTTTCTGGAGTGACCTATTATCTACTTCTGTATTGTTGCAACCACACAATCTAGAAATATTCTTAGCACATTTCACCCCGCGCACCTTTACAAGCAAATCGGCTTGCATGTGACAGGATATAAATGCAAATAAGCAAACTTGCCTAGGAAAAAAGCGCATTCGAAATGAGATAAATATGTTTGCTGTAAAAAATTCCTTTTTTCGCCCATGTTTGCCGCTCTTTGTTATGTTTTAGCCGCTCCTCGTTAACTGAGCTATTAAATGGGAAGGTTTTCTAAAAAGCTGTTTTACCAGTGACTTCTAATACAACTACTGCTTACAAACTTATTCAGGTTTACTACTCTGGGCAAGACATGTTAGCAGGGAAAGGGAAAATGTGCAACCCCGGTACAAAATTATGGTTTTTGTTTATCGACAACAACACATCTTCCGATTACAGGTCAATGCAGCGATAAGATTAACTGGCTTACCTACGATTTCTCTAATACCCATAAGTGCTATTATGGAAAGTACGTCAGCGAATGGGGAATTAGTGGATGTGTCGTAGATGACGAATATCGTAAAAAAGATATCTGCACAACTGATGCATAATATTGAAAAGAATACACATTCCTGCATCTACTTGTTTCATTTACACCCTTCAGCATTTTAATTAGTTTCAGATATATTATCAAAAAACGAGATTGTACTCGGCCTTGTCCAACATTGAAAGGACAACAGCATAAGATAAGAATGACAACCAAATCGCTCCAAATCCCTGATAACAAGCAAATAACCGCGGCAAGCTTGGTGTCCATTGTGCGTCACGCATATATGAGTGTTTTCAACGAAGTGGCTTCATTTTGCTGCCACTCTGCTTTCATGTTATTTTATTTCCATCATGAATTCTGCTACCATTCGAGTAGATTTTCCGCTTGATATATTGTGCTTGCACAGCAAGTGAAATGCGGTAGAATTTGCGCATGAACAAATAGCCAGCCAGTAATGCCGTCACGTGCATAGCTACTTGTTTACGCGCAGGTTTTACGCAATTTACCTGCAGTGCAAGCACACTATATTACAGGCAGTGACTCGGCAAATCTCGATCTGTGGTTTTCTCGCTTACTTGGGGTGATTCGACGCGCTGAATCCAAAAATTCAACCTGAAGAGCGCGAAAATGGCGGTAACTAGCACTTCTCAAGGCCCTTTGTTTTGAATCTGAACGAGCGGAACGCTCCCGCCACGGTTAAATACGTAGAGTCGTTGCGGGATCCTCATGTTCAAGCACTGCGGCATGCCGCTTCTGACGGTGTGAGAGATATCGCAAGCTCGTCCGAGCGTGTGTTAGAGTAGCTTGTGTGCACGGGTTTAGGACCAATTTTTAGGCAGAGCTAGCATGCTGTGCGCTCGGACCTGCAACCTTCGCATGTTGAGAGTGCAAGCAATCTTTCATGAAAATTTCGAGATATTTGGTCTTGCCGAGCCACTGCCTTTAAACAGAAAATCTACTCGACTGTACTTGTATACAGCACTCCCGCAATCGGAGAGTTAAATTCACATCCTTGTTACATACTCTTTGCTTCAACCAGATTGGCGGTTGGAAGGCGGGGCTTCGTGACCTAGTTGAAGCTGGGAAATGATCAGAGTGAGCGCGCTCGGGAGAGACGCAGACGCGTCGCGGGCGTCCCTGATTAGGTCAGAACGTCTCGGCTTCCAGCCGCCTATCCAGTTGAATCAAAGATTACTGTTAGTGCTTTATTGAACGCGCTGCGAAGTTTTTCAAGGATTCAGGAATTAAGAGTCCACACTACGATAATAGCAGCAAAAAACTTTGTTATTGCTTTCAGTAAGTATAAAGAAAATGAGAAGTGAACAGGAACGTAAAACAGCGGCAAAGTCATAGTGATGACTGATTTGTCCGCATCATATGAGCATTCGACGTAAGTTACTTGAACCTATTTGAGCACCAAGTCTCCAAGCAGAACTCGAGATACAACTGACCAACATGTGTGAACAGTGCTTAAGTGCAACAACCTAATGTCAGTAAAAAGTAACGTTTTGACGAATTCTTCACATCGATTTTGAAATTAGTTCTTGTCGATATATGTGAGCACTTAATCAAACCGCAACTACTTGAAAGGAACCGCAACTACTTGAAAGGATCGAGATTGAAGAACTAAACCATTAAAACAACCACAAATTTTAAGTAAGGTAGTTTGACGATTTGATGGAGATTTTGAAAGGACCACAACAGAGATAGCACCATCATACACTTTTGCCGCGAACAACGGGAGCGATAGTTGTACAATGATCTGAGACCGTAGATTCTAATAATTCACAGAACTAAGTATGCTTCCTATGTGTTTCCAAAATCTGGTGGTTTACTTAAGCTCCTAGTACAAAAATCATATTTCCGCTAAGCACAACGAAGAAGAGTTTTCTTGATATTTTTATTACGACTTGATCGTAATACCATGCTCTCTCTAGCTGCTGCAGCTTATGTTAGCAATTCAAGATTGGCATCGGATACCATTTTAGTAATGCCAAAGGTTTTCAACAAAAGTATCAGATAGCGCAGCGCATACCGAATACGTATAATTTATAGTACAAAATGTACTCATTTGAGATTTTGCGGTCTGTCATGTGCCCGACTGACAGAAAATGACTAGTCGAATGGTTTTCCAAAAAGAGAAGTTTTGATTGCATGGTACGCTGAGTTCAAATGTTTTCCTTATCTGTAAAGCTCTCTGTGAAGCTCTATCTGTGAAGACTCATGAGCGTTTGAAGCAAGACGTGGATGCGCTGCTAAGATAAAATCTAATATTTCTAGCCATTAAAGCAGGTGTATATAAGTTGTTTAGAAGTTTTTGCTGCGTGAAGATCTCACTGCTGTAGTCGATAGTAAAAAAATTGTTACGGCTGTTCAAATTATTGCACCAGTAAACGCTCATAACTCCTCATCGAGGAAGCTTTGAAGATAGCTAGATTCACCTTCATGCAATAAAGCCAACAACATCTTACTTTTCCTTATCTGTAAAGCTTAAAACGGAAATCGGTCAGTAGAAGTGGCCTGGTAGGCCACTTCTACTGACCGATTTCCTTGTTTTCCGTTGTTGCGCACAACCTTCTGCCACCTTACCGTAAAATTTTCATTTTCATTTAAAGCAATCTAATTTTTTTTGTCTCATACTGAAGGGAAAGCTCCATTTATATTCAAAAAAAGGCAAACCATGCAAAAACACTTTGCAAAAAAAGCGGGCAGGCATCGAAAATGCTTCTTACCCTTTGAAAACTCCACATTTGTAAGCTAAAAAATCGAAGTGGTTTAGCTTTTCGTAGAAATCAATGCGTTGATTATAAAGAGTATGATTGGCTCTTTTCAATGATGCGCGCAGCTTGCCGCAAGTCAATGGCCCTGAAATTAAGACAAGAATGAAAACGCGACGAACTTATGGGAAGGCCCAAAAAAGGCGTTTCAAGTTTGCGCAAGATTTCTATATTCTGTTTCAAAGATCGCATAAAAAATTTGCTTCAATACTTCCATATAAGTAGCCCTGACATTTTTTAGAAGTCGGCAAGGCAAGACTTCGTTACGGCGATGTTCGCCGTCTCGCGTACCCAAGCTGTGTAGCTCCGAAAATTAGCATTTTGAGTATTTAACCTACGAATTCGGTAATTTTGAAGCCACAAACTATCCCTTCTGTCTTTTTTAGATGATCCGCCTACCGTCTTCCTCAGGATGCTTTCAGATGATGCCCAACACCAACGTTAAAAAAGGCGTTAGAAAGAAGAATTTTTTCTAAAGTCTACAGAAATGATTTTTGAAAAGTTTCAGCACTCCTGAAGCGCAATAGAAGTTAGAGCATTCTTTGCTCACGTGTAGCAAATTCTTCAAGCTTATTCGTAGGCAATCTGACTAATTAGGAAGGCGACGTAACGTAGTTGTCGAAAGTGAACTTTTTCCCTGTTTGATATTCCAAATTTGACGCTGTAGAACTTTTTCATGTCATCTGATGTAGAAACCCGAATTGAAAGTTTAGTAAAAAAAGGCTTAAAGCTTTCAAATGCATATAAACCATTTACAGAACATCGCGGGAATTATTGAGAAAAAAATCGAAAGAAAAAATGGGGCAGAATTTATTACACAACCTAATATATTCATCAGCAATCACTGGTTGTCGTCTGCTCAAATACCAGAATAATTTTAAAATCAAAAAGGGCTGTCGGAAATTTGACGTATCTATAATGGGATCACGCATCAAACTGAGACCTAACAAACCATACTAAAAAAATTGCCATTGACCTACCTTGCAGCAGTTAAGCTGCTAAATCACAATTTGTTCCGACAGCCAGAAAAAAAGAACGCTGAGGAGAGCGACGACCACTAAAAATTAAGGGCATTAATGCAGCGTATTTATTACAGCGCAGAGTATGTAAGAAATATCTACAAAACATGCTGTGCATTTGACTTCCAAATATCCCTACTCCTCTCCTACAAAAACAATACCCTTATTTTAGCAGTATGGATTCAGTTTAGAAAGTGGTGCGAGTAACTGTGCTCATTCTAGAATTTCACAGGCAAGCTATAGCTAGTCTTAAACCGAAAACTTTTTTGTAACCATTTTCAATCAATTCTCGCTGACCTTCGCTTTACTTAAATCAGTATGAGTGTGCTTTTCTAAAACGAGTAACAATTGCAACTTTGTCACATATCCTGAGGACATCACGATACCGTTGCGTGACGGAAACAATCATAATCGGTCCACTGCGCAGCCAGATACTATTTCTCTCTTTCTTTTCATTTCTAAGAAATATATCGAATTGCAGAATGGCAGAGACGACACTAATCCGTCTAATTTTCTCATTTTTTCAGCAACAGGCTTGGATCTTAGTATCCGTGATACCGTTGCCTCTTGGCGAACAAAACGATTAATATGTAAGTAAGGGACGTAGAGCTACATAGAAGATGAGCTTAATGTTTCTGCAGGGCATTCACACTAGTCGTTACACTTTGCCTTGCGGCTTCACTCAATGCTGTCAGATTATTTGACTACAACTTCGTTAGGAATCAAATGTTCCCTCTGGCTGCCGCCGCCTATTCGGATGAGCCAAGGGGCTGCATACTCAATCGCTTAGGCTATAATGGAACTCATGGGAACTTGGTAATTCGCTTTTTATTATATCTGCTCTTTTCTTCGAAAGAGGACATGACAGCACGAGCTGAGCATGATAATTATTTGCAAGTACAGAAAGTTCTGCTTAAAATTCAAACATCTTTGCTTGTGCACGTTGCGTAAAATGTTAAAGCAGATCTTTATCGCGTGCGTTAATTGCTCGAAAGAAAAAGTACGCTTTTTCTTGTTAGTAAATGGAGAGATGCCTTAAAAAGGAAAGCGCTTTCAGGCCTGCATACACGTGCACCCCCCCCCCGCGGGGAGGAGAATTTCCTGAAAGGGGAAGCGTCATATCTCGCTACTACAATAATCTTTAACCTTTTTTCTCTACTTGACTTAGGAAGGTTCTCATATACGTGCGTATAATGGATGCAAGGTTACAGCCATGGGGATCCTCAGGGGGATCACACAACATAATGAAAAACTCTCATTTTCAGCGCTAATTATCTTTCTGAAAACTCAACGAAAACTGTGAAATTGTAATGAGGATATAATTGGCACAGCCAAACATGTTTTTGGCGGGAGAAGTAAAAGTCAAAGATTGTGAATTTCCGATAATCTCTAGCTCGCGAGCAGTGGTTCATCGAAGATTTTGAATTTCTGGGATTTTACTTGTTTTAGCTATAGTCGTGTTCGATAGTGTCATACTACATCCTCAGCACAATGTTCCAACGGTTTCGTTGACTTTTTGAGAAGGTAAATGACTTTGTAATGAGAGGTGATCCTTTGAGGATTCCAGCGGATCACACAAGATAGTGAAATTGTGTTCTTGTATGACAGTACCATGGCAACTATTATGCGCAGGTATCAGGGTATGAGAGTTCGTAACCAGATTGAGAAAGCAGAAAGAAGGTATCTAAAGTAGCGAAATACGTGGTGTCCCCTCTCAGATCCCCTCCCCTTTCCACGGGAATGTACGTGCATGTGGGCTTTAGTAATGGCCGCTTGAAGTTAGATTTATGTTGATGAACTCAGATGAAAACTGCCATCTCAACAAAAAGCTGGCGGTGAAAAGATTCGATCCTGGAACCTTCTCTGCCATAAAGACCATACTCAAGGCACCATTAAATCGTTGCTGCACCACCTGCAGTGCTGTACCAAATAGTGCATTCAGTTGGACCTACAAGTTTTTCAGAAGAGTGTACGGTAGGTAACGATTGCGGCTTTATTCAGCATTCATGACTGACTTCAGTGTCATACTTCTAAGCTCAAATGGTCACTCCAAGTTTTTCTTTCTAATTTAAAGTTCAACAACTTATCAGATGATATGAGGTACTTTTGCCCAGCAGTGAGGTAAATATTCATAAAATTAGTGGTGCATAGTGCTTGCAATACATGCAGGAAGCAAAATGATTCTGCGTTTGTAGATGAAATTTGAAAGGTTGTAACGCTAGTACGTTTGTCATAACTGAATAATAAAATTATCCTCAAAACTTCTATATTACATTTTGAAACACCAGAATATTCGTAACGAGATTTTTTTTCAGTTCTTTGACCATAATCTTGTTCAATGCGATGGTTTTGAGAATGACTGCTATGGATTCCTAGCCACACTAACCGAACAGTCGGCGATAGTTCTTAGTTTCAGGTCAGCTCTACCTTCAGTTTACAGCAGTCGTATTTACAATAATTTTTGGCTAGATAACGAACCGAAAGCTTCGCTCTGAAGCTAACATGTGCAACGCTTATATCAGCGTCTATATCAGCGTCTATCTTCGGGGAATTAAGCTATCCGCCCACTTCAGTGAACACAAAAGAAGACTGTAATGTCGTCAGCAGGAGATGAGCCAAGCATCTCAGTGGAAGCGGCTCGTGTTCGATGTTGCATACGATATATAGGAGGATATGCTTGTGCGGACGGATGCATTATAACTCACATTGCTATTGAATCCAGCTCTGCTAGTTGCGGTCTTTCTGTTAGTTTTTTGGAGGGGTATGACTGCGGCCGGCCAAAGCCCTCCAGTATGGTTTTAGCGTTCAAATAATTCAAAAGTGAAGGTGACTATCGTAAGCGGCAAGCTTAAATTATAATACGCTCTCATAATGATCATTGCTCTGCTTGAGCGCTTTAAAACTTCAACGTGCACGCACTGAAGCTGTTACCAACATTTCAAATCACTGCCTTACGTCACAATATGACACCTGGTGGTCTATTCGGAGTGATGCTGAAAAGGACGAGAAAAGAAGCACATGTTGTATATGGGTAGTGCGACCAATATTATGCTCATAATCAGTTTTCTGGGCTCATGGGTTTGAACAGAACTACCTGGTATTGACCAGATTCGTGGGCCAATTATCGAGCAACCTCGCAGCACATATACACTTCCTGCGTAGTGTTTGAGGGGAGGCCGTTGTAAATTATCGACAAGGTCGACCTGATAGCACATTACGACAAAATAATTAATCATGATTTCGGATCCGCTTTGGTTTCGCATAAGCTTTCCTGCAAACACCTCGTTCGCCATCACTTTCGTGCTAGTCAAGACAGCCTGTGCTAAAGAACATTTGCAGCATTTGTCCGTTACTGAGACACTGAGGTCTGCTTTGAAGATGAAAATCTCAGCCGCAAGCGCAGAATCTGAGCTGCCGCTCAGTGTCTAGTCGCAGTGTCTTGATTAAAGCCCTAAAATTACTATCAACGTGAGATCCGCATAAGTCTAGATTTGATCAACGCTGCTTCTAAACAAAACGTTTGATTTGCTTCCGGCAGCTTACAATATAAATCACGTCTAAAATGCCCACACGTCTCCAAACAGACCGATGAATGAATTCACTCATAACGCTTGTGAACTTCTTGTGTAATCCTTTTCAAAATAGAGAACTTTACAGAATGCTAGAGCTAGGGAATACCCACCAAGTAGAACAGCGAGCAGACGTGCAAATCTTGCAAGACTATTTGAAATAAAGAAATTGCTTCGGATCAGTGTCCCTAGTTGGGGGACTAATACCATGTTATGTTAAGATTGCAAAGCATTGTATCTTCCAAAACGCTGCCTTCGTTTACGTGCTAAGTAAAGGAACTTGGAAATGTTTTTCAGGGATGCCAGTCTGGATGCCACGATGGGAGCGGCAACCCGAGCTGCGCCGAACGTGACACTCAGGTTGGAATTCCCTGCAGCTCAACAGTTATTATTACAGAGGCACCAATTATCTAAGTCAACTCAAAAACGAAGTTGCCACCAGCGCTGCTGTGGTAATTTGTGTGAAATAATTGGTGCGTAGATCAGCTGTTGCTTAAGGTCCCCATGGGGTCAGGTGAAGTGTCTTGGTACTTCTACAATGCCTTCTCAAATGTGTGGGGAAATGACGCAAAAGGCGTAAAAGGTCTAGAACGTGCCTTCAAGAACCAGATCGAACGACACCCTAAGTACGAAATATGGGTATGTATTGAATGCACAAAGATCGTTTTCATGTGACCAGAAACTTTAGGTGACCGTCCATTCGCTCGGAGGTGCCATGGCGTCTCTGGCAGCGTATCACATCGCCAAAACTTATAACAAGATATCTGAGCGGATAAATGAACGGATAAAGCTGGTAACATTCGGAGAGCCAAGAACAGGCAATGCTGCATATGCTGAAGACTTCAATAAAAAGGTAGAAATTTACATAATCATTTACACAGCATGCTCGAATACCCGCTCTGCCTTGCTCTGTCAGTACACTATGTCAGTATACTAAAAACTACCACCTCTACTTTATATAAGTTTTTTTGTTCTTATTCTTCTTCCGTATGCCAGTATTCACTTCTCCCACTACGTTTTCGTATTCATTTTTTTTTCGTGCTTATTTACCCACTGTGCCTGATGGTGGAGTAAAGCACAATTAGCATGAGTTTTCAAGTCTCTGAAACTCTACGCAGACTTTTTGAAATTCTCTCCAGTTTTTTTGAAACTTGTACATTTTCAAGTTTGTGTGAAGTTTGTATCATATCGTTCAAATATGGCTCAACGTGAGATAATTTAGAAAAATCTAGAAACTTTCAAATATGGCTCAACGTGAGATAGTTTAGAAAAATCTAGAAACTAAGAAGAGAAATCTTAACAAACTGTCGTGAGGTCTGAAATTTTGGTCATTATTTTTTCGCAGATCGACTACGCATTTCGGGTCGTCAACGAAAGAGATCCAGTGCCGCATGTTCCATTTTCTCCACGTTTACCATTTTCTTCACAACCCGGATACTACAGTCACCATAAGTATGAAGTGAGCAATTTGATTTTGGCAATTCGTTTTTTTTTGTTGAAATTATCAGCCATAAAAACATCGAGTAAGTGCTTATAATGCGTAAGAGTTATGTATGATTTTTGTTCAGGAGATTCGACCCTTAGGACGCTTAGATGTTCTAGATCTAGCTTCAAAGTTTACGGATCACGATTTTTGCGTATCTCTGGTGTCATTTTGAAGAGCTTGCTTGGCTCTATCGTGCATTCGTATAATTTTAGGGATTCTTTTTTTGCCTTTCAATTTTTTAGGGTCTCGTTTCTTATACACGCTATTAGAAACATATTATTTGGGAGCAAGAGGACTTAGAAAACTTACTTCTTATCCAAACATTTGTTGCAATCTAGAACATTTTTGAATTGGCGGTCATTAATTACAAATTTATTAAGGTATGATTCCCGAATGGCATGGGGCCTCGTTCAAAATTCTTGGTCTGCCATGGTAAAGAAACCTTGAGACTTTTTCCGCTTTCAAATACTTTACTTGGAAAAGAAGCCATTCTATCTTTCAGATGAGGCTGAATCCAACGAGAGGTGCAGCAACCAACTTTATGTAAAAGGAATACTTTGGCATCATACAAAGTACTTTGACAAGAAGGTCAGCGACTATGGAATCAAAATGTGTTCGGTATAGGGTGTAATCATTGCCAAATACATATATGCATCATCTGTTGAAGTGTGTGGTATCATAGTGTTGCTACCACACACTTCAACAGCATGTTTCACTCACGAGGCATCTCACCTTGTGTTTAACTAGCTCCATGAGCGTACAAGGGTTGCGCCATAGAGTTTTGTCCCACCTGACCAGAGAGAGCAAAATATCGCACAAAGCAAAAATCTTCAGATTTCTAAACAAGCAGTCGCAGTACATTAAGCTCTTACGAGAAGCCCGCACACTTGTTGGCTTTCCTTTCTGCACACCCAGATAAATCTCTCTGAAAGCGCTGTTTGAATCAAATGGTTTAAAGGAAAGCTTCAATAATTTAATTTTTGATTCAACTGGCTTGCCACCATTAGGGCGGAGTTTTGTGGTCTAGTTGAGACAGCTCGCGCCCGCGACGCACCTGCGTTTCTCTCGCGCGAGTGCTCTCTGATCACTACCTAGCCTTAATTAGGTCAGAAAGCCTTGCCTTTGCCGATGCCAAGCCAGTTGAATCAAATGGTATTTGTCCAAGCTACATGCTTCCGCTACAGCTGTAAGGTCGAAGGCATAGAAATCTTGTCGCTACGCAATCTTACACCGCAAAGACTCTTCATCATTAGTCGTAAAGGCGCTTTGTTTGTGCCAGACTTTATGGCATCTTGGATTCGTAGACATCTGCCAAATCGCCAAGTCGCCATAGCGCTTTGACGGAATCGCGAAAAGTACGCCGTAGGCCTAAAACTTTTCATCATTCACTACATGTAAGGAGGCTGTAGAAGTGTGCACGGCCAAAGAGAGCAATGCGAGTCGCGACAGCTAACATCTGAAACTGCTCGCAGGAATGGCTATATCACTGTGAAGTCCCGGCAGCGAACATCTATTGGACACGCAAACAGTAGCCCATGCGAAGTAAGAACAATGACAATAAGATCCCTCTCTGTATGTTTTTTTTTGTTCGACAGTTTCAGTAAAGCAAACCAAATGCATAGTAGCACATTTTGAAAATGGGGTTATGCTGTGCAACATTCTCAGTAAACATCAGAAAGTTGTTTGAAACAGATTGCATGACGTAGAATATATACCGAAGAAATGCATGTATGCCCTTACGGAAATAAGGCGATTGAGCTGAGGGTATCGCTTATCACTTGGAACGCATGAATTGTGGCACGACGTACATAGGAGAAACTGAAAGAATTCTAAGTGTTAGTGGAAAATACCTGGTTAATAAAAGACGAGAAAACCTGTCATCACCATTAGGCGAGCATAAGATTGAGGTACATAATGATGGCGATTTTTTGAACATGAAATGTACAATTTTAGTGCACGAGGTCAAAATCTCCGCGAAAATCACTAGAGGCTGCAGTGGATATAGCGGAGTATGGACAACAGAAATGACCGAGTGACACAAACGGCCGATCTCTTGCCTCTTTCAGTCTGCCCCAATCCCAACCAGGCCAAAGTTGGCATGGTGGGAGCCCCGGGTCGCTGGGGTTTCGCCGTCACAACTATGGCCTGCTTATCTGCTCCTCTTCAATCCTTTTGCTCTTTACGACAGCGCGCATAAGCAGCGCGGACCGCTAGCGCTGCGAGTGCGCAAATTTCCGCTGAGGGTTCTGCCTGATCTCGAATGGAGCAAACTGTATGTCACAATGCGACCTACAGTAGCGCAGTATGTGTTGCTCTTGACTCACTGCCCTTGACTGACCAACAGTGATGTCCGTCAGATTCGTGCGGAATACTGACCGGTGAAGTAGAAGTCGGTGAATTAGTTTTAAAAAGTTGGATTGTTTCTCAACACATTGCGCCTCAACGAGGTTTGAACGGCGGAAGTTTGATGAGGCGTTTGGGTTGGATCACGCGGCAAAGTTTCGAAGATTTACTTTTCAGCCCTCGCTAAACCCTCGTCTGAAGCTTCACTTACTTTATGCGTTCATACTGATCCGGAAGTCTGGGAAACAGTTCCAGCACAGCGATCAGTTCGAGCGCTGTGCTGGAAATGTTTCTGTATACTGTCTGGAACTATTTGAACTCAGCCTTTTCCAGCTGAGATTTTGTCTTGTTTTTCACTTGAGAGTACAATCGGCATGTTTTTCTCTTTACTAATTACAATTTGACGGTGCCCTCATCTCCGTCAAGTCCTGAGATGTAATTTACATCCCTTTTTTGATCGATCTATTGAAGGAACTTTGTTTAGTCGGAGTAGCTTTTTTAGATGTAATGTATACCATAGCTGAGAGCATAAAACGCTGGATCAAATGCTTTCCTAATCTGCGGAACGTTTGTGGACGAGAATTCATAAGATTTTATTTGAGCAAAAAAATACATGTGCAAGTAGGACAAAAGTAGTCGTAAGTTTTTTCTAGAGCTTCAATGGAGCAGTGATGAGTATTAGAGCACCACATTCAATAAATACTCTTGGATAAAAAGTCATACTTGGTGGCTTTTTAAGAGGGCTATCAAGATTTTAACAGCTCATTTTATCCCGAGTGCACATTCACTTCTTTGTTCCCAAAACGCTTATTTTAGAGGTTGCTATTGTTGCCTTTCAATTTTTTAAGGGATCTTCTTGTTATCCACGTCTCAAGGAACATACAATCTGAGAGCAAAAAAACCTAGAAAACTTTCACATACTTCTCATTTGAACATTTGTTGCAACCTAGAGCATTTCTGACCTGGCGGTCCCTAATTGCGAACTCATTAAGGTATGGTTCCCGAATGGCATGCAGCCTGATTCAAAATACGAAGTGTGCTTTGGTAAAGAAACTATGAGACTTTTTCCGCTTTTGAATACTTCACTTGAAAACAAGCCATTCTATCTTACAGATGAAGCTGGATCCAACACGAAGTGCAGCAACTCACTAAAATTTCCCATCAAAGCATGGACAGATCATAGACACTACTTCGGAATACTCCTCAGCGACTGGGGATTAAAGGGATGTCCTGTTTAATCATTGCCAAATACATTTCCGCATTCATCTGTGTTGCTACCACACACTACAACAGCATTTTTCACTCACCAGGCTTCGCACCTTGTGCTTTAACTAGCTCCGTAAACGTACGAGGGTTGTGCCATAAAATCTTATGACTGTTTGTGAAAAACAAAGCTTATCTGAGCAGAGAGGTTGAAAAATTGAACAGAGCAACAATACTTAGATTTTTAAAAGAGCAGTCGCAGTACATCAAGCTCACACGAAAACCCCCGCTCATTGTTGGCTTTCCTTTCTGCACACCCAGATGAATCTCTTTAATGGCACTGTTCGAATCAAATGTTTAGAAATGAAAGCTCTAAGAATCTACTTGTTCAAGCTACATCTGTCCACCCTACAGCTGTAAGGGTGTATGTCAAGAGGCGCGATTCTTATTGCCAGATGAGCAGCTTATAGTACATATTTAGTGTTTTACGCAGTTCTAGAATTACTTGAAATCTCAAAAGATATAATTTTGATAATTGCACAGGGTGCTCCATCTCATCATCCTGAAATCGATTCCAGACAAATTGTTGAAGGTCAAAAACCATTGAAATTACACTTGATAGCAAATTTGTAAATAATCTGGTCAGTTTTCTAGCAAAAGTCGTCAAACTTATCAGTTGGTTACCTCAAACAGCTAGTAAGCTATGGAGTTCGTCCGGCACTTTTTGAACCCTCCCATAGCCCTAAACTGGAGCTTCAATTTGGTGACAGCCAGAAAAATCGCGCCTCTTGACCGTCTCCCCAGCTGTAAGACCGAAGGCATACCTCAGACGAATTCAGTCGCTGCGCGATCTGGCATCGCGAAGACTCTTCATTATTGATCTTAAAAGCCCTTTGCTTGGGTTG